ATACAAAATGCCTACTCCAGGTCAATGCACCCACCTACTCTAGGGAGATGCATCCCTTGGATCAAGCAGCCATGGGACACCAGAGGGATAGCATTCACATAGATGGAAGGCTGGACAGACAGGAATGGATGGATGAGAGAGGCACAGGGAGAGGGTGGTCATGGACAGGAGAGAGGAGGAGAATGTTTTACTGTTGGTGATGGTAATTGGGGCCATGAGACCAGACATGCATGAAATGTTGAAAGTAAAACAAGTTTGCTATGTAAATTTGCACCCAAAGCACAATAAAAATAAAGAAACCCTATTCCATTTAGGTGTCACTACACTATCCCCCCATTTTTACCATCCCTAGTGGCATAGTGCCTAAGGCATTTGACTCCTAACCAAAAGCCTGGTGGTTCAAACTCACCAGCCACTCCTCACAAGGAAGGTTGGGCAATCAACTTCTGTAGTGATACCAACCCAGAAACCCAAAGAAGGATCACTATGAGTCGCATATGATTCGATGGCAGTGAGTTTGTAAGCAACCATTAATCTATTTTATGTCTCTATGGATTTAGTTATTCTGGACATTTCATATAAATAGAATCACACAATAAAAAACAAAACAAAAAAACAAAAACTGGGTTGCTTAATTGGATTTTAAGGAACACCGTTTTAAATAACCCATAGGCAAAGAGGAAATTACAATGGAAACAAACAACATATTTTGAACTGAATGACAAAAAAAAATTTTTTTAACTTGAAGGACAAATAAATGCTACCCATCAATATAGATTGGTAAGATGCAGGCTTAGTCATACTTAGAAGACATTTTATGACATTAAAAGTATGTATTAAAAAGGTACAGAAGTCTTCACTGGTGATTTTTCCAATCATTTGCAACACCAATCCTAAACAAAGTCTTCCAAACAATAGAAAAATAACATTTCCTAACTTATTTTATCACTCAGCTTCACCTTGATATCATAACTTGACAAGGACATTGCAAGGAAAATTACAGGTCACATGAATAGAAGCAAAAATACTAAACAAATTATTATCAAATTAAATCAAGTAATACAGAATAAAAGTAATATATCACAAAGAATGGGGATTATTCTAGGAATGTGTGTTTTACCACTCATCAGTCAGTCATTGATATTCATAAACCAAAAACCAAACCAAACTCACTGCCGTTGAGTCAGATCCGACTCATAGTGACCCCACCTTGGGTTTCTGAGGCAGTATCACTATGGAAGTAGATTGCTCAACCTTCCTTCTGCGGAGTAGCTAGTGGGTTTGAACCACCAGGCTTCTGGTTAGCAGTCAAATGCCTTAGGCACTACACCACCAGAGCGCCTATTGATATTCATAGGTGCTCAATAATTATTTGCAGAATGAACAGCAAATAACCAATGATTGAGGGCATAAAAGTGCAGGACATCAGTTGGATATAAAATGCATAGAATAACTGATGGGACTCCACTTTTTGTGATCCTGTTCTCTCCCAGCCCCCAGTTGGCACAGGTAGAGTGAAGACTCTCCTTAGGGAAGTATAGGTGGGAGTTTCAGTCAGGGGACGTCCCAAGGGTACCTCTTCCCTTCTTTAAGGAGGGAATCTGGGATATTTTTCAGAGTCAGGGCTATGGGAAATGAACTTTGTCCTGAAGTCAATTCATTAATTTTGGCTTACTTCTCCATGTGGAACTTCTGTCTATTCCCCATGCTCATTATGAGCTGAGTGGGGTGTCTGTCCTGAGACCTCTGCTCTGTGATTAGAGGTATAACCCTGGGACATGAGCTCATCATCAATTTTGTGAGAAGCAGGAGAACTTCTTGGATGGTTAGTTCTCTAAATTTTTATTTGAGACCATAGAATTAGATGGACAGTGTAAGGAGCCTTCCTCAGCCCAAGGCTTGCTCAACCATTGCCCTGAGGACTGCTTCTTTGCATACTTCTTGGCTCTGATCTGTCTCTGCTGAGATATACTGGGTGGAGTGAAAGGTGAATATGGGGAGCTGAATGGAGGTGTAGCATGCGGAAACAGGTGAGGGGGACCTGATGGTTGAGGGAGTAAAGGTGACCAAAAATTGAGAAGTCAATCTGACTTCAGACTTCAGCCTGGAGAAAGTCAGGTGAGTACAGAGAAAATTTCTTGCTGCCAACTGACAAAGGCTGTTGTCATTGGAGACCAAAAAGATGGTAATCCTAGTCTTCCAGGACAAAAGTGCTATCATTGTACATCCATTTTTCAGTCATCCTAGGTAGTTCCAAAGTCATCAGGCAGATCTATTGATTCCTTGCAACCATATGTCTGTCTATCTGTGGTGTGGACAGTCATGTTTCATGCTTTCACCCGTGCCGATTTTGGAACATACCTTCCTGTGCTGTGCTCTGACTTCATTTGCTGCGATGTGTCTGTAACTCTTTATTTTGCAGGCTTTTCCCTATCTGATTCTAGACAGTTTTCTCCCTGCTGGCAACATGAGAGTGGAGTTATCAACACATGTTGCTTTATACCAGTGCATGAAAATCTGTTTACCCATCAGATTCACCTTGGAAGTTTTAAAAAGCTATATATGAGGGGGGCTCGTCTCAAACTCAGTAAGCCAGAACCCCAGGGGGTAGAACCAAGACACATGCATTTTTAATATCTCCAGATGTCCCAAAGACATAACCATGATTGAGATCCAATCATGACTACAGGTCCCCAGGATGCTCTGTGTATCTTACTCTTGTTTCTTCCTTCCTTCCTTCCTTCCCTTCTTTCGTTCCTTCCTTCCTTCTTTCATTCCTTCCTTCCTCCCATATGCTCCTATTACCAACAGTCAATATTCTTTGCCTCTCTTTGATGGTCTTTCCAGTTTGTGTTAGGGGACATTCTTGAATTCTGAGTAGGACACTACAGAAGCCAGAGCCATATTCTCTAGTAAAGTACTCCCAGAGGCCTAGTATTTGTAGAATGAGCACTGTCCCATTCCTTCTTTTGTAAATTCAGTGAATGTGTCTTGAATGTCCGCTTGAGGTTAGGAGCTGTGCTGGGTGAGTAATATATAACTGTGGTGTGCCCCTAGTACCTATGCTTATATTACCCCTAGTCATTAGAAAGTGGGATGGATGGTTGGAATGTGTCGAGAGAGACATTTCTGAGGTTCTCATAGTATTTGACATTGATATTTAGCTCTGTTGCAGTGCCTGCCTGTTGCCTCCTTTCCCCCACCCCACTTCCCTCTGTGTAGCAAAGAATGAAATGTGTCTCAAAGTTAGGTCTGGCCTTTGCCCTCAAATTTCTGGGGGGTGATTTCTAAACCTTTGGCATGTCATGCCTAATAAGAGTATCTGTTTGTCTGGGGGCCTTGGGTCACACTGGATAGTCTAGCAACTGCCACACTTCTGGTTAGCAGTCAAATGCCTTAGGCACTATGCCACCAGAGCTCCCAGGTGGGGGTTAGTTGCACTAACTAGTAACAATGTGATTTAGAGTGATGGCTTTGAGTCACATAGTATGAGTTCAACTAGAGGGGCTGGCGACTGAAGTCAGTAATGTGGGCAGTAGACCATAAAGTCCAATGAAGACCCTGGACACCAAGGCATGAGGTAGCTTCCCTGGTTGGCAATACTCCATATTGTCACACATCAGTAAATACTGAGAAAATAATACTATTCTACCTCCATGGGAAGAGGACAATTGGAAACTCTGGTATTTTCTTGGACTGTGCTGTATATACTTCATCCATTGACTGATTTTATTTATATCCTTTAGCTGTAAGAAACTGTTTACTATTGTTAAGTGCCATCAAATCGATTCTGATTCATGACAACTTCATGTGTGTGGAGTAGAACTGCTTCATAAGGTTTTCAAAGCTTTGACCTTTTGGAAGCACATTGCAAGGACTTTCATCTGAGGTGCCTCTGGGTGAGTTCAAACTTCAACTTTTCAGCTAGTAATTGAGAGTTTAACCATTTGCACCACCCAGGGGATCCTATGACAAACTGTAACCATGAGTATAGTAACTTTCAGTGAGTTCTGTGAGTCCTTCTACCAAATTACCAAACCAAATGGTCCTTATAAGGGGTTCTGGTGGTGCAGTGCCTAAGGCATTTAACTGCTAACCAGAAAGTTGGTGGTTCAAACTCACCAGCCATTCCAGAGAAGATGGGGCCATCTACCTCCATAAAGATTTACTGCCTCGGAAACCCAATGGGGGTCACTGTGAGTTTGGAATCGACTCAATGGCAGTGGGTTAAGGGTCATTATGGGAACCCCCAAACTTGCAGCTGGTGTCAAATGTGAAGATGGTCTTGTGTGGACTGTTTCTTCTAACTTCTAGTTGACTAAACTCTCACATCATTCCTCTTAAATCTATGTTGTTGTTGTTGTTGTTATGTGCCGTGAAGTCAGACCCGACTCATAGCGACCCCTCCTTGGGTTTCCGAGGTAGTGTCATTATGGAAGTAGATTGCCCCATCTTCCTTCTGAGATATTTCTATAATTATCTGTATGCCACTTAAAACCCCTTCTCTTTTTCTTGCATTCTCTGGTCACCCCTGCCTCTTTGCCTTGTTCTCTACAGTGTTTCAAGAGAAATAAGGATCAAATCTTGCTTGGTAACCACAGAGGGCAACTGAGAGGAAGTGGATTTTCGATGTAGAAGGAAAGGGTAGAACCTGTGTCAAATCTGGGCTCTGTCCTTTAGAAGAAATGGGAAATCATTATTTTCAATGTATGATGGAGACACCAGAGTCAGGGTCCCAGATGTCATCAACCTTCCCACAACAACAGCTCAGGATGATATATATATATATATATATATATTTTTTTTTTATTTGTTTGTTTCTCAGGGTCCCAACCATGGAACTCTGGAACCACACCACCATAA